CAAAGTCGCCGTGCGAGTCGAACGCCACGCTGGCAAACGACCCCGCCGTCTCGCCGAGCTCGCGGTGGTGGCGCTGCAGCCGCGTAATCTGCTGCAGCCGCGGCAGCGTGTAGATCCGGATGCTCGACGACGTGACCACCGCCGCCACCTTCTCCGACCCGCGCTCGACGACACCGCCGCCCAGCACCCGCTCGCCGACGTCGGCCTTGGCCACCACGGGGCCAGTGATGCCGGCACGCAGGCTGATGCCTGTCGGGGGAGGCGGTAGCAAAAGAAAGAAAAGGGAAGAACAGGCCAATCGAGGTTGGTCTCGAGTCAGTCGTCGGTCGTCGGTCGTCGTCGTTGTCGTCGTCGTCGTCGCTCCTGCTTGTTTTCCTTCCGCCAGGCGTCCACTCACCTCGGTCCGTAAAGGCCAGCGCGAGGTTGCTATCGGGCAGGTCGGCGGCCGACCCTCCGATGGGGCCGTGCTCCTGCTCCCGGAGCGCCCGCTGCAGCTCGTTGGGCAGCGCCGGGCACACGTTGCCGCCGACGTCGAGCACCTGCAGCCTGCGCAGCGCGGCAAAGTCGTCGAGCTTGTGGCCCGACGTCCTCTCCACCATCCACATGTCGAGCGTCCGCTGCAGCGTCCACACGGTCGTGTAGCCATTGTCGCGGCTCACGACCAGCCTCGGCGCCAGCGAAGGGTCGTCGGCCACCCTGCAGACGCCAAAGGTGAGCGCCGAAATGGGGCTTTTGGCCTCGGCCTCGAGCATCTTGCGCGCCTCGCGGGCAGAGCCGCCGCCAACGCCGCCGACGTCGCCGCGCGCCTGCTTGGCAAAGTCGGCCTGGTCTCCGAAGCCCTCGCGCAGGATCAGCTCGGGCCCGCGCAGGTCCAGCACCGCCAGCACGGTGCCGCACGCGACGGCGACGAAGCCAATGTCGCTGATGGCAAACGCCGTGATCTCGCCGCGCATCGGATCGATCATCAGGTTGGGCTTGAAGCCGTCGCAGTGCCACTCGGCCAGGTGGCCGAGGTAGGTGACCTCTTCGGCGGCCGCCTGCTCCAGGTGCGGCCGAGGCTCGGCCGGTGGCGGCGTCGGCAGCGTCGGCAGCGTCGGCGGGGGACGGCCCTGCTCGGGGATGCTGGAGATCGAATCGGACGGCTGCATCGTGACGCCACCCGCGCCGGAGCCGGCGGACGACTCGCGGTCTCGGCCGCCGAACCGGAAGCTGAGCCGTTTCGGATCCCGCTTGGGTCGCGGCGGCGGCGCCCCTGGACCGCCCTGGGAAGGCGTGCGGCTGTGGCTCGCCGGGGTGCTGGTTCCCGCACCGGCCAGGTCGACGTCGTGCATGATGCCGGCGTCCGTCAGGCTGCTCCGAGAGGGGAGGCCCTGCATGGGCGGAGCGGTGGGGCCGGATGGCTGGACATGCTGGCCCTGGTCGCCGGTATCGAGCTCGCGCATGGCGTTGGCCATCTCCTGGTCCAGGCCGCTGGAAGAAGGGTCGGCCAGGGGTCGTGGGCTGGCGACCGACGAAGAGCCGCCCTCGCTCCGCGAGCTCGTCACGGGCGGGATCATGAAGTTCGCGCCGCCCTGCTGCTGCTGCTGCTGCTGCTCCTCTTGGATCTCCCGCTCCACCTCTTCCTGTATGGCCCGGGTCTCGCTCAGCTTGGCAAAGTCGAAGCGGTACTGGAGCAGCTGGCCCGTCGAGAGCGAGATGCCCACCTCGAGCACTTCGGGCGCCAGCTGGACGTCCTGCACCTTGGCGCGGCCGCGGATCCGGTCAAAGGTCGGATGGCCGGCCATCTGCTCGTGGCGCAGGAGGGCGCGGGTCGAGATGGTGAGGTGAGGCAGCGGCGAGGGGAAGCCGCGCTTGAGCCACACGCGTGGCGGCACGTTGGGGTCGGCTGCGGCATCGGCCGCGTCGACGTCGCCCATCAGCAGCAGGTGCGGGCTGGCGTCGTGGAAGCGGACGCTGCCGTCGAGGTGCCAGGTGATGAGGATGCGGAACTTGCTCGATCGGGCAAGGTCGGGGATTGTCTCCGGACCGTCGCCCGAGACCGACGCCGACGCCTTGCCGCCGTGCAGGTGGAGCGGGCCTCGGCGCGGGTCCTGCGACGACCGCATCGCCACCAGGTCGCTCTCGTCCTGCTGCCGCTGGTTGAGGCCGGTGGCGTCCTCGAGGCCGACCAGCTTGCGGTAGGCGTGCGGCGCCATGGTGGCGAACTTGGCGCCCAGGATCGCCCCTGCACCCGCCAAAGTCAGCGGCAAGGGCAGGTCGAGCTCCCTCTGCGGCAGCGACGACGCCTGGACCGGTGCAGGCACGGCGTCGAGCTGCGGGCTGGCGTTTGGGACGTCGCTGGGTGCGGCCTGCCACGTCGGGAGGCGCGGTGGGAACGAGTAGCAAGCGAGACCCCTGGCGGCGGCGGGTGGCGGAAGCGTCGGCAGCGATGGGTCGGCGGCGAGCAGGACCAGCACGCCCATCGGATCAAAGGCGCCCCCAAAGTGAGGGCTGAGCTTGGGCAGCAGGACAAAGTCCTCGACCAGCGACGAAGTCCGGTACGTCGACTCGGCGGTCGACTGGAGCGACTGTCGCAGCGACTGCCGCAGCTTGTTGGCGTTGGCGCCGCCGTCGCCGCCGCCGCCCCACAGGCTCATGGGCGCAGCGTACGGAGGCAGATGGATGGCGTAGAGCGACGGCGGGTCGCGCCCTTCGACTGCGCCGCCGAGCACCGTGAGGATGGTGCCTTTGGTCGGAGCTGCTGCGCCGTCCTCGGACCCGTGGCCGTGACCCTGCCCCTGCCCCTGACCTGCACCAGCCGGCCGACCGTCCTGCGATGCGCGCGACGCCGACCCGGGCTGCGGCGACTGCCATGCGGCCGCGCTCTCGCGGCCCATCTCCATCCACGACTTTTCGGGAAAGCCGGACCAGGCCAGCTTGAAGATGGGCTCGCGGGGCGGGCGTGGCCGCTCGAGGGCCTCGACCGAGGCCGACGGCTTCTCGACGTCGAGCGCGTCGAGGGTGCGCACGGTGATGGGCTTGTCGTCCTCCTTGGCGTGCCAGAAGGAGATGCAGCCGTCCTCGTGGCCCATGGCAAACACCTGGCCGTCGGGCCTCCAGGCGACGCAGGTGGCGGGCGCCGAGCGCTCGGTCCAGACGAGGGCCGGGTCGCCGCCGGCGCCCGGT